ATTTTCTTAGGACGCTTTTCCTTTCCAATCTTCTGAGGCAATAAAAGAGCAAGTTGAACACAGCTTCAGACTGTTAGTTTTAGTCTTAAAAACCTGCTATGCCTAACACGGTATACATGAAGAACAAAGCCTTCAACTGTAGGTGAAGATTTTGTACTTTCTAAACAAAAATTTTGTACCAAGATCCTGTACTTTCTCAGTGTAACATCCCAACTCCTGTTTTCTTACCTACTAAATATACTGCCATCCCTTTCTAATGGAAACTGGATCAATGCCATTAAACTGTAATTATTTGCTCACTATAGCCATGATGGACTGTTGAACGAACAGCCTACAGGTGAACTGGACTGTCAGCTCTCACCAGTCACTTTAGAGACTCTACAGCCTCATGAGATCTTCATTTTATGTGTTTATAGAGCAGAAGACACTTCAAATCATCAAATTTATCTCTGCGCAAAAGGTTATAATTGTTTAGTAAAGGAACAACTTGCAGATTTTCTTAGCATTCTCCCTTACTGCTTCTCAGTAGACTTTGAGAGAGACAAAGCCACTATAAGACATGAGCGTCTCAAACAACAGATGCACCTTGACGAGGAGAGGCTGAGAGACCTGGGCTTGTTCAGCCCTGAGAAGCTTGCAGGGATCTTACGTATGTGTGTAAATACCTCAAGGGAGGGAGCAGAGATGACTGTCAGACTCTTAGTGGTATCCAGTGACAGGACAAGAGTCAATGGGCAGAAATTAAAACACAGGCATTTCTGTTTAAACATAAGAAAAACCATTTTTACTGTGAGGGTGGTTGAACACTGGAACAGGTCGCCCAGAGAAGCTGTGGCATCGCCATCCTTGGAGATCTCCGAAACCCGTCTGGACACGGCACTGAGCAGCGGTCCCAGCTGCTGCAGCTGAGCCTGCCTTGGGCAGGCAGGGGCTGGCCTAGGCCATCGCCAGAGGGGCCCTCCAACCTCAACCCTTCTGCAACTAAGACAGGACTAAGAAATGACCTCTCTAAAGTATGCACACTTGCAAAATATTTATAATCAAAAATCATGTGAAGTAGCTAACAAAATATGTAAAGTATCATTCCTAAATAAGTAGGTATTAGTCAAACGGTGCCTAGCAACCTTTTAATCTAGCCTGCCTTCTGCCCCACGGATCTCCAGCACGGGGGTTTTACGTGTGACATGACTGCGGCCCGGTAAGAAACGCGCTCGAGCAGGAAAGGCTGGGCCACCACTGTGCCGTAAATCACTGCAGCAACGGTGAAGGGCTTCCTTCACCCAACGGTCTACCTGTCTCTGCTCTTCACTCAAATAGCTCTTTACAAAGAGGGAAAATATACCTTTTTCTGCACTCTTTTTTTCTTAACGGTTTCCAAAATGGAGCCGTGACAGGACCTCACACACTGTACTGTGCTGCAAATAACAAAAGGCCCCGGGGAGTCAGAAATTAGATCTGAGGACATCATGGATGCTGCTTTCCAGAAAAAGCGAGAGAAAAAAAAGGAAGTCCAGACCTGGTTTTCATTTCCCGCTGCAGCCGGCCCCGCGCACAGGCCGCGGCCGCGGGCAGGCACC